TTTATGTGGAGACTATAAAGAATGTAAGTCCCAAGCGATGTCCTGAGAATATGTAGCCTGACCCCCAGGAATATAGCCTCACAGTCTAGTACTTTATTATCACAGACCAAAAAAATAAAAAACAAAATCAAAGTGCTATGGATCATAATCTGAGGATTCCCAACTAGTATTTATATTAATAAAGAATATGAAAACACTTTAATTTAAATCACGCTATTTAAAATTGGTGAAATTTAATGTTGGTAGAAAATGAAAAAAACAAAAACCCAAAAACTGTACCTAGCACAGTGCCTAACACACAGTAGGTGCTCAATAAAAGTTCACCAAGAGTTCAGCCCTTCAAGCTGCCACAGTGTGGTAAGTTCAATGCTTTCTTCTGGGTGTATCCAGAGAGAGGCTGCAGCTGGACCGAAAGGATGATGGACCTGGCGGCGTGGCTCAGCTGGCTGGAGCATCATCCCGCACACCAAAAGGCTGCAGGTTCGATCCTGAGTGGCAGTGCCTATGGCAGGCAACCTTCTGACATTTCTTTCTCACCCCTGAGGCCTTAAAAAAATATCTCACTGAAAGCTAAGAATGGCGAAAGTCAGTACGTGAAGGCACCTGGGAGTATTAGATTCCCCTTTCCCCACCTCACTCAGAGCGCTCTGTACCCCGAGGCACTCAGTTACAGGCAGGCCAGTGCACAAGTCTTAAATGCGCAGCTTGATAAACATGCACACATCCACACACCCATGTAATCACCCAGATCAGACACGGAACTCCTCCAGCGCTCCCTCCCTGGCGGTACCGCCGCCCACCACACCCGGATCACCGCTGACCCGTCTGGTCCTGTTTTGAACGTCACAGAATCATACAGAACGTACTGTTTTGTGTCTGGCTTTTCTCACTCAACCCTGTATTGTTGATCCTTGTGAGTTCTGAGTCACAGGCCACTGCATGAATGGACTTCAAATGTGCGCATCCGCTCTCCTGCCGACAGACCTCTGGGCAGCTCCCAGACGCGTTCCCGGAGGCGCCTTCCAGCGGATGGACAGCGACACCTCCTTCCCGTGCGGAGCGGCCTCCGACAGCCTGCTAAGCCACAGGGTAGCCGTGGGTTTAACTACAGTAGATCAGGCCCGTTTTCTAAAGTGACTGTCTCATCTGAGAGTTCTCAAACACAGTTTTAAATGTAGAAAAGCTCTTCAGGAGAAACACAAGAGTTCTGGGACTTTTGGTTCTTCCATCTATGAAAAGCAGGGGTAATACCAGCAGAATGCTCCCACCTTGGGGACACACAAGCCCGTGTGGGGGCTGTGAGAAAAAAACAGTACAGCTTCGATTTCAGTTTCTTATGCTTTTACCTAAAAAGTAAAATTTACTAATATTTACTACCTAAAGTGACACTTGTGTCCTTACTCAGATGGTTGTATTTATTCCCTTTGGGCACAATTGTGATTCACCACCATTCTGTGTGTGGCTGTCGAGCAGAATTAGGGAATTTTACTTCTCCTGAACTCTCACCAAACGAACAGGTGGCTGAAAGCGGTCCCACAAATACAATTCCAACAACACAAGCACAAGCAAATGACGGCCAAGCTGACAGTCCTCCAGCGGAAAATGCCCTCGGAAGAGAAAAACGGGGGCCATGCAGCCAGATCTCACAAGAAGCAGGCAAGAAATATTCCAAAAATTAACACTTTACGCAATATGGACTTCATCTATTATATTGATATTCTGCCAATAAGAATTTTAAGACATAAAATATGATTGGTATCATGTCATTCTTTTTAGTGTTTTATAATGTACATAATAGCACCAAATACAACTATATGCAATTTTAAAGGACATTCACACCTATTTGGGATGCATGGCTCAATGCTTTTTGTTGTTCTTTTTTTTTTTACCAATAGGATCTACAATCAAGAGGGTACACACTCTGATTTTAGTGTAAGTATTCCGCCAGGCAACCCTTATGCATAAGTAAACTTTTAGTGTTTGAAGTCATACACAAGCACATATACTCTGTTCAAAACAGGCAGCTGCTACTTCGTGTGAAAATAAGAACCTGTGAGCAGAGAGGAGCCCGGGGACCCCCTGGGAAAGGGCATGGGGGGGCTTCCGTGGACACTGTACCTCGGCAGGGGTTTGTCACGCCAGCGTACACATTTGTCAAGCTCTGTGAATGCCACATTTCAGGTGTGTTTCAGTCTAGGTAAAGGTTACCTCAAAAGAAAAAAAGGGGGGGAATCTATAAAAAATATTGACCACTAGCTAATGATATGCATTCTGAAGTGTCTAGGAGTCAATTACAGTGATGCCCGTAACTTACTCTGAAATGCATTAAAATAAGATGAACTACTACATGGACAGAGGAACAAGTGCAACAGAGCATGTACAATACAATGTTAATAACAGAATCCAGGTGGTAGATATACGGGTGATCACCATGCACTTAACTTTTCTATATGGTTGAGATTTTTCGTGATAAAATGTTAGGGAAAAAAAAACCCACTCAAGAGTTGAAACTCTTTTGAGTAGAAATGGTTGAGCGTATAAGAGGGATAAATGGCAATGAGAAAAAAATCAGCCATTAAAAAAAGAGTTTGACAACTTAAAAAAGGATAGTGATACCGGAGAAAAGTTAGAAACTTGAAAGGAAAGAAGGTAGGAACATGCAAGTACCACGGCTTGCTGTGCTGACACACACGAGCAAGTCTGAGAGGTAAAGATGATCCCTATTTGAGAGTGAACTGAAACTCGACAGGATTGCCGACCAGGCCTGAGGCCACAGAGCCCGGAGTCCAGCTAAGAGTTGAATCCAACCAAAGGTTGTAAAGGTTAGTAGACACATTTCTCCCCAGGACTAAATGTTTCCCGAACAGCAGGAAGTCACCTCTCCATTCCAGCTCTGTTACGAAGCTGCAATGTCTGGCCCTAGTTGGTGTGGCTCAGTGGATTGAGCGCTGGCCTGAGAACCAAAGGGTCGCCGGTTGGATTCCCAGTCAGAGCATACGCCTGGGTTGCGGGTCAGGTCCCCAGTAGGGGGGCTTGTGAGAGGCAACCACACACTGATGTTTTTCTCCTTTCCTTCCCCTCTCTAAACAAAATGAATAAAAATAAAAACTGCAGTGTCTAGCTCATGTTTTCCCTCTGGGGTTTGACTTCTTGGGCCACACTGAATCCACACATGCCTGGCCAACACGCCACTCACTATAAAACAATACACTTATGGAAAACCTACATCCTTTCCTTGAGGGCCTCTTGGTTGGATGTGAACAGACACTGACTTTTCCTTTCCTGTATTTATTGCATCTTATCTAACAACCTAGTTGATTTCATTTCCTCATTTTCTGTTCCAGTTTGTCTTGGTTCGGAATTGTGACTTCTGACAATTTTATGTTCCATTACCTATACAACTAGGACCACTTCCGTAGTACTTTCTTTTGTTTCAAAATTACTATGGGTGGTCAAGCTATGCGAGCAACCCTAGTGAAATTTTTAAGACTTTTCTTTTTTGACTCTTGAGAATACTTCTCTAAGATGAAAGAAAAGCCATTGTGTTACAAGGAAATGACTGACTACCGATAACCTTTACTTCACTTTTGACTATTCATAAATATAGGCACCCTATCAGCTCTTTATTTCTTACTTGAAAAATATATTCAGGGATTCCCTAAAAGACTCCTAAAGTCACAAATCTTGCCCTTCAAGCGGTATGGCTCTAGAGTATGAAAATAACACATTATTCCACCCTAAAAAGTGTGCCTTATTTAAGGATAACCTACAGATCAGATGTGGAGAAAAGTTACTAGCACAGCCTAACGGAAGGCGAGAAAGACTTTTTCGCACTTGACGTGTGAGGCTGTGAAGAGGTGCAAGGAACCCTAGAGGGGACCATTTCTACAGGCAGAGATGGACATTCAGACCGCGGAGATGATGAGCCCAGATCAGAGGCTGGGTCTTCCAACTCCTGCCCCAGTATCCTTGCCATTTTACAAACATACCAAACTAAGTACCAAAAAAAAAAAAAAAGACCAACTAAACACACCAAACACAAACACGCCCACACCCTCGAATGTGATTAAGTCCATCCATTACTTCAACTTCACTAAACTGCAGTCTGGTCACCCATGATGTCACTTCCTTTTTTGAATGGGTGTATTTTTTTTTTTTTTTGTTTTGCTCTCATATCGTTTGACTACCAGACAACGTTGTAGAGCCCATCCTCACACGCACGCCAATATCCCCCAAGCCCAGTTCGGTTCCTCAAGGGCACCACCATAGCCTCCAAGATGCTCGGACCCTCCTCTCCGAGCTATGTCTTATTTCAAGCAACGAACTGCCAACTATTACAAAATGAAAAGGGATGTAGTTTAAAACACAAAGCACACACGGTAGTATTAAGGCTCCTCCTCACTCAAGGGGCCTCCTAAAAAGATGTCAATGCCATGTCTGTCTGACAGGCAGATGCTCCCCAGGACGGGAGGGCCCTTGCAGGCTGCAGCGGAGGCCAAGGATCAGGCAGGTCTGGAATCGACCTAAAACAAACATGGAGGTAAAGAGGCACGAGGGGCGTCCCGGTGCCACCAGCCCGCTCTCCCGGGCGTCGGTTCACCGGAACGAGGCGAACGGGGAGGCACGTACCCGGGGCAAGGATGGGCTGGCGGGGGCCCCGGAATCGCGCTCAGGGGAGACTCAACAAGTCTGGATGGCGGAGGATGCTCCGAGCGATGGGTGAACGAGCGCCAGCGGGCTCCCGCTGGCCTCTCAGTGACACCAGCCGGCCTTGCCAGGATGCGCCGCCGCCGCCCGCTCGCGGACGGCCATTTGCAGCGCGCGCGCCCCGACGACCCTGCCCGGCCGCCGCCGCCCGAGGCCGCGGGTTCCGTCCGCGCCGGCGGCAGCGGCAGCGGCAGCGGCCTGCGGGGCCGGTGAGGCGAGGGGAAGGGGGCGGGCGCGCCATCATGAAGGGAAAATGGTGGGCGGGCGGGCCCGCGCGCGGCCGCCGTACTCACCCGGGCCGGCCAGTGCGGGTAGCCCTTCATCTTGGCGAACACCAGGTCGCCCGCCTTGTACTCGCGGGGCCGCGGACGCGCCATCCCGGCCGCTCCCCTTCCCGGTCGTCCTTGGTCGCCGCGAAGACGCCGGCAGGCCGCGCCCCCCCCCGCCGCGGCCTCGGACGGGCGGGCGGCCGCTCCGACGAGGGGAAGCGGCGAACGGCGGCGGGGGCGCGGGGTGGGCGGGGGGCGCAGCGGGCCCGCAAATCACGGCCCGGCGGCGGCGGGGAGGGGCGCCCGGCCTCGGCCCTGGCTCGGCCCGCCGCGCGCTCACGGACGCCGCGCGGCCCGCCTCATGCCGCCGCCGGCCTCTCCCCCGGTTCCGGGCGCGGCGGGCCGGGCCTCGCGCCTCCTCCGAGCCCCTCCTCGGGCGGCAGCCGCCGCCGCGATCCGATTATCGTCCCCGCGCGCTCAGCCCCCGCCCCCTTCCCGCGCCGGCCGCCTAATTCCTCGGTCCTCGGCCCGCTTCCGCCCAGAAACGAGCGCGCCGGCCGCCGCGCGGGGAACGGGCGGGCGGTGGGCGCGTCCTCCCCAGCACCGAGCCCGCGCCGGGCGGGCGGGAGCACCGACTCCGGGGCCGCCCGCCGCCGCGCTCTTTTGTTCTCGGCCCCGAGCTGCCCGCACGGCCCAGCCAATCACTACCCGGCCACCCCTCCCGGCGTCCGCGCCGCGCGGGGCGCCCCCCAGCCCCACGACCCCCGCCTGGCTCCCCGTGGGCCCGCACAGCGGCCCCGCAGGCCCGGGAATCCTCAGGCCGCCGGAGAGGCCACCGCAGTGGACTCGGCGGCGACCTTGGCTTCTCGCCCCAGGTCTGCCCTTGAAAAGGCATGTGGCCCACCCTGGGGGGCACTGTCGGGATTCGAACTTCAGTCTCCAGGGCTCCAAAGCCCGTGAGTGGTTGTGCGTCTTTATTTCTGTGGCTTACAGGCCGGTCGTTTTGCGAAAGGGACTTACTCTCGCAGGTCACTCGTTTCCCGTCCTGGCAACCTTTTGGACAAGATGTGTTTGAATCTGCCCAATGAATGAATGCTGCCTCTTTCATCATCCCGAAGCCCACCTTGAAGAGGGCCGCTGGCGCAGCTCCTCAGTGTAACTGACTTTGTGGCCCTCGCCTTGCCACTGGGACAGTGCTCTTGGCGTGTGTCCCCTCTTCTACGCTTGCCTTCCCTCTCTCCCTTTGTAGAAGTTTCTCCCATCATCAGCCTTCCTCTCTTGCCCTGTATTGTGTGTGCCTGCGCGCACGTATCCCTGCTCCCGTGCCTTGAAGCCGGACTCCCAATAATGGGGCTTTAAAGTCCCTAGACTTCCTGCGGACTGTTTGCTTTGTGAATAGAACTTGACGTGACCTACTGATGCATTTCCTTACTGTTTGATCTGATGATTTTCCTTTGTAAACATTTACCCGTCTCACCAATCCTGCAAGTTCCCCATTCCCTCTTTTCTCGCTGTTGAAGAGTGGTCTTGGGTCCTTCTGCCTCAGTTGGAATAGCTCGTGCCTTAGTCCCCTCCGACAACAAAATTCAACTGAGTAAATCTTAAAGATCTTATTGGCTTTTTTTCATCGATTGGTGAATGGGCAGCATCCCACCGGGGAGAAAGGAGCTGTACTCAATGAAAGGCTTAGGAGTAGAAGTGGGCGGGACAGGAAGTTACTAGACCAGAGTAGATTGTTTCAGGCAAGGTCATGTTTCTTTGGGCAGCTTCAGGGGTCAGGCAGATGGCCTGCCTAGTGCTGGCCAGGTCATTCTAGGTCAACTGGCCTAAGATTTCCCTCTGGGAGCAGTTGTGACTGTAATTAACTTAGGTATTATTAACTTAGGTATTCTAAGTCTCAGTTTGGTGACGTGACTTAGCACAAGTGTCTATATTTTGGGCCTGTTTTCTCTTTTTTAATAGTCCCTTTGGGTCATGACACTGAAACACCAGGGACTCGGTGATGTGTAAACAATGGAAAGTGATTTCTCGCAGTTCTGGAGGTATTGGGGGTCCAAGAACAAGCCACACAGCACATTCTGTTATCTGGCGTGGGCCGGCGTCCTGGTTCACAGATGACCATCTTTTCAGCAGTGACAGGGGGAGCGGGCCCGGGAACTCTGGGGTCTCCCTCAGGAGGGCATTAATCTCACTCCTGAGGGCCCAGTCCTCACGATTCAACTCCCAAAGGCCCCATTTCCAAAGACATTGGGATTTGCCTTTCGCATGAATTTTGGAAGTGTGTGTTCGCTCTGTAGCAGTCTGCTAGTGTGTCTCCTACTTGTTGGACCTGTCCCGTGTACCTGCTATCATGTCACCACGCTTTGCTCAGGAACCTGTGGATGCTTCCTACATCCTCTTTCATCAAACCCCAGTGGCCCTCTGACTAGTCGCCAAAGGCCTGGCTGTTGGCTGCCCGTCCCCTGTGGTCTGGCCTCCCAGTTGGAAGCCATAGGAGGAGTTGAAGCAGGGGAGGGTCACAGTCATCTGTTTTAGACGGCTGACTTTGGATTTCAGGGCGAGAGGCTGGGGCTCACGTAGGGGGCTCTCACCCAAAGAAGACAAGGGCTTACTTAGATGGGGCTTGCCCACTCCCACTCGGTGCCTCGTGGGTAGGAAAAAGGACGAGTCAGAAACCGTCCCCTGGTTCCTGGCTCATGCAACGGAATGATTACTTTGGACCTCCCCAGGGTGAGGAAGCCACAAAGGATGGGCAATTTGGGGGTGAGATCATGCGCAGTTTTGTGTGTCCAGCTTTCCATGGGGCTCCCAGAGAGAGACTTCATGGGTAGTTGAATATACAGCTTGGAGAGAGTGGTCCGGACAGAACGTAGAGACCTGAGTAACGTCCATTTGTGGGTGGGAGCTGAACCCAGGAGCGAGGTTCCCGGGAGACTGTAGAATGGGAAAAGGAGTAGCCCAGCACGGAGCCGGGTAACACCAACATTTAGGGGTCACGCAGAAAAGGAAAGAGCGTAGTCCTCTTTCTGTAGGAGCCAGGGATTAAAGAATTTCCAGAAGGAGGGATGTGGGCAGATAGATGCCACGGAGAGGTCCAGTAAGAGGAGGAAGAAGACGGCCCACTGACCCTGGTGGTGGAGAAGTCACGGGTGACGTTGTCTGGACCAGGTCACTGACATGGTGCTGGGAAGAACCGGGGACGTGAACGACAGGTGAAAATGTAGCGGCAGGATGGGCAGACGACTCATTGCCAGCAGAGGAGAAGGAACAGCACGGAGGCACGAAGGAAGAGTTGTTCTGATCGTGTAGGTGGTTTTTAAAGACTGGAGAAACGGGAGCTTGTAATAAGGAGAAAGGAGGAGCCAGCGGAGTGAGTGGTTGGAGATCCAGGCCACAGGGGATCACTGACGGGGTTTGGTCGTTTGGAGAACGGGGAGATCCCTCGCAGTCTAGGCTGCGGTGTGAGGCTCTCACTGGGCCCGGTCTGACTGCCCAGCACGCGTCATTCGCTTGCCTCTCCTGCCCTGCACCGAGTCTGACTCCAGAACACACGCACACAGGCTCCCCTTATGGGATCCCTCTGACCCGTCATCAGGCATGTCCTGTTTCCTCATCTGCGTGGCTGTGAGACCATCTGTCCCTGCAGCGCCAGGCTGGATGCAGACCACCCTGTTGACGCAGTTTCGCCAGGGGCGAAGCATCGCCCTGTGGCCTTCAGGGCAGACAGAGCTTCCAGTCTGGTTCCTCTGCTTTTATGCAGAGGACAGTTCCTGCAGCTATTCCACAAGAATGCTCTGCTCACATAGGTAGCGAATAACAAGTAACCCTTCAGAGGGGCCACTAAAACCATGAACAGAGTGGGACGTGTTTTAGTCAACATGGCCCCCAAGAGCTGGTCTATTGCTGTGTTAAAAGAGAACACAGTTCACTTTACTTCTGAAACGTAGAAAGAATGCCATTCGCTCATGGCGATAATTTCACCTTCCTTTGATCGCTGTTGATTTCCACATGCTCCCATCCCTACAGGCTATTACGTCTCTTACCCTTGACTCTCTGATCTATTTTTTGCCAGCCTTCTTCCCACTCACCTGCACCCACATATTTTGTTGACCGTGTTCTGTTCTCACCTTTCCCTTTCATGTCATCCTGACTCAGCTTCTTGGTAAAAGTCTTCACAGTCCCTTCAAAGCTTCCTCCCCACCCCCCTCCTCCCACCCAATTCACCCATTCCATGATGCTTTCAGTGCCCGACATCTATGCCTCCACCCCAAATTACGTAGGGCACGTAAAAAACACCGAGAATGGTGCCTGGCACATAGTAAGTCCTCATTAAATGTCCATTGGTATTGTTACCTTTGCTGGTGGTGTTCACATGGTATAATGAAGAGAGTTGTGGAAAGGGAGCCAGGGAAATTGGTGTTAACCACACACACACACACACACACACACACACACACATACACACATAGAGAACACGTCAGGCACACGTCAGACCGAGCTCCCCGGACTTGGCATTGGAGCTCATTTGCACAGCCTTTGCGTCGAGAGGTAGCTCTCAAATGGCCTTTGTCCCAGTCCCAGGAGAGGAAGACTCACATTCCTTGAAAGAGAAAGGGCGATAAGCTATTGGCACCCTCTCGAAAGTCAAGTAAAAGAACTGTCATATACTGCTTGTGACAAGAGAGGGGACTCCCACCTCCGTGTGAGCTTCGGGACAGTTCTGGGTTGGCAGAAGGCACTGCACCACGATGGGACGGGGCAGGCACCAATGGTGGGGTCTGAGTCGCTGGGGTGACAGTGGGGAACAGCAGCACCTGCACTCGGTCCCCCACTTACAGAGGCAGAGGGCGCCCGCCAATGACCTCAGAAGCACGTTCATGGTCGCTGAAGGCGTTACTTGGGCCTCTTGTCTGGGAGGAAAAGGGGGGCTGTTTCAGGCCACGAGAATTCTCCTCCCTGAGAGTCCAAAGGCCGATTCCATCGAGGTTGTTCATGCGCTCGCCCCGTCCCTGTCCTGTCTAAGGCCGGGGAGCAAAGTGCAGGGAGCTGTGCCATGAGCACCCAGCTGTCTGGTGCGGGGGGCGGGGGACTGGGGGGAGGTGATCCAAGACGGAGAAGATGCTAACGCCCATTTGGCCAGTGCCCTCCCAGTGTTGCTGCACACACCGCGGGAGGGAGCCCTGGGCCACGCGGATGCCATTGCCTCCTTCCTTCATCTGGAACGAAAACGTGCCGAGTCCCTTTAGGCGCCTGTCGTGGTTCTAGGTCTCGGGGCCGTGGAGATGCAGAGGGATCAGAACCACACTGGATAAAGTCCTGCAGCCGGGGCCCTGGGAGGCTGGGGCATCGAAGTCCCGCCTTCGGCAGGGCTGCTGCACATAGAAGGTGGGAGAGAGGCACTTTGCTAGTTCTAGGCCTAGGCATTAAGAGGCACAACAGCAGCCCTGGCTGGTGTAGCTCAGTGGACTGAGTGCGGGCCTGTGAAGCAAAGGGTCGCCGGTTCGATTCCCAGTCAGGGCACATTCTTGGGTTGCAGGCCAGGTCCCCAGTAGGGGACACATGAGAGGCAACCACACATTGATATTTCTCTCCCACTCTTTCTCCTTTCTGTCCCCTCTCTAAAAATAAATAAATAAA